CAGTCTGTCTGGGTCTTTATGTTGTTCTACTAGTAAAACAATTGGTATAATTTGTAAAATTTGAATCCTGTAAAAGAGCCAACCCCTTCAGAGGCTGTCCATTTATTTTGAAGTCTCTTCCTTTCTTGTGTGTTGATTTTTCCCTTGAGCACTTACCAGTTTGAAGATGTGCATGCTGATAGTTCTGTAGACTAGGTGCCTGCATGGGTGATGCACCTTCTCTTTGCAAGGCTGGGATAGTGCTTTCTGCACCGTGGGAAGAACTGGATGATGTTTGTCCCTTTCCTTCGGATATTTGTGAGGAAGAACTAAGCCAAATTTGATCTCATGCATAATGTTGGAGTATGTGTTTTGTGCTGGCTGTTTCTTCAAATACATACTGCTCCAGTGTATGTATTTTGATTTAATCTTCCAAATATTTTTCTGAAATGTGTCATTCAGACCTGCCAGCCATGCCTTTCAAATACAAAACTCCTCCTGTTTTCATGTTTTTTAATCTATTTTTAGACATGTGACAGTTCTGCCTCCTTTGCTTGAAGATACTTTAAGAATGTTGGAATCACCCTTTTTTCTCTGAGATTTCAGTTGCAGTAAATGCCCCTATATGATGTGATACAGGCAGCCTTAGTTTGGGTCTTAAGAAGGACATTGTTGGACATGTGCTTAGACTGGAAGCTGAGAGATTTAGGGTGAACTCAGTTATCTTTCAAATAGTGCTTGTCATCCTTACCCAACCTGGTTATGGGTTTAAATTTGCCCAGGATTTGCAGTTCTGTGGGCAAATGATACTTCTACAGAATGACAGCAAAGGGAGAGAGTGGAAACCAGGAACTGTTTTCTACTGGAGGGCCTGTAAGAGAACAGATCATCCAGAAGAGGTGATGATGGGTGTCCCTGGCAGCTAGAGCCCTGGACAGTTGCAGATTATCTGCTGGAACCTGTGTTTCCAAAACCAGAGGCAGGAGTGTCACCACAGGACCATTTCTATAGGGAGCAAAGGAAACAACACAGGTATAGACTGTTTATAAGCTGGTATACAGATGCAATGAATTAAGCATTATTGTGCATTTTTTAGTAAGCTCAGTCCTCACACTAACAAAATATTATATGAAGGCGTTAGTTCTGACATAGGCAAAATCCAAGTGGAGAGAGTTCTTTCAGTTAGTTTATTTACACAGAGCTGCAAGGAAAACATAATGTGTGTATGCACACAGAAAATTATCGTTTCAACACCCAAAGCTGGGTCATTTTGCAAATATAGCAGACAGATATACAAAAAAATTCAGGAAGCAAAGGGAAAGTGGTGCCTCAGGGACTATAAGATGAAACTGTCAGTGTCTCAATAAAGGCATTTGTCACACCGCTGGACCTGGCAAAGTGCTACTTGTGGCTTCTGCTGTATTTTTTAAGCAAAGTGTAGAGACAGCTGTGGATTTCAGTGGACCATGATAAACCATTACCAGCTTGAATTCACTCTCTGTTGACTGAATGCTGCAAACCTACTATAACATTATATTTATTTACTGTTTCATTTGCGGTCTTTGCTGAGTTGCAGCATTTTGACTGATCACAAAATAAGGAAAGGTGTTGAGGGGACAATTTAACTGGCATATGTATAGTATATGTGTACTTACTTTAGAAACATGGAGAGGCTTGTTTCTGTATGTAGAAAAAAAGTCAGTCACTAAAGTGGACTGATTTTAAACCCATGAATTAAAATAACTAACTTAATGTTTCATATCAACAAGCAAGAAACTTTCATATAAACAATTTTCGTCCTCTTTTGACCTTGTACTTTCTAGTAATTTTCTGAAGGAAAGGTTGGTTCTTACTAGTTTATGACATTGGAAAAATTGTTGATATCCAACTAAATGTGTAATTTCAGGTGGTATTTGGTACTTTTGTGTGCAAATACGAGAGATATATTTTTTTTTCTTTGATTTATCTGATTCAATACTTTTGCTCGAATCTCAGTTTTCTAGGTCTGTACATATGAAAATCATGTATTTCTAATTAGGTAGTTAACTTTCACTTAAGATTTATTTAAGCTCTGTTTTGGGTAGAAATTTTTAATTAAATTAAAAAACCTCAGAATCAGTGCTTTTAGTTAGCTCTGTCCAAGAAATTAAAAAGTGCGAGTATATATTAAGGAGATTTAACAGACATCTTTTGAATACAGCTCCCTTTGTAAGCAGGGAAACTATTAGTCATTGAGTAGATCAGAAACTGTTTCTGATATGTGTGATCCTTTAGATATGTAGGGATGATAGTTACTAGTGCTGCTTTTTAATTGTTGGTTGAAGGAGGAAGATAACATTTCCTTGCCCACTTTAAATGATCAGCTTGTTAAAATGAACTACACGAACCAAAACAGCTTTCTCTGTAGCCATAGAAGAGATGATTGCTGTCAAAAGCTGGTTTGAGCGCATCAACATACCCTATGTTCAGGTCTTCTGATGACTAAATTCCATGAGACTTTTCAATTCAGTTTGCCTTGGTAGCAAACATTTACTGCTTTAACATGACTCCAACATTCCACTTCATTATTTTAATACTTTATACTAAGCCTGGACCTCAACATCTGTTGCTGTCATTTCAAAGGTAGTATTAATTAGGGGGTTTGTGTTTTGATTTTTAAGTGACATTTTATGTCTTTTAATTGGTCTCTCTTTTGATAAGAATCTTCGTAAAAGGAAATTCCTTGAAGTAGAGTAACTGTGGCTTATTTTGAGGGTTGAATAAGAACTAGAGAATTGCATAATTAGGTGTGTTAGATTACAGTCATGTACGTTTATTCAAAACACGATTTTACAGCAAATTAGAAACTGTGACAGAGTAGACTATCACCCTTAAGTAATTGTTAGGGAGACCTTTACAGGCTTTTTAGCCTGTTTTGCACTGATGAGAAAGCTCCTTTGCTTTGCCTCCTCTTGGAGGCAGCTAGGTGTCAGGTTAGTGGTGGCCTCCCTTGTATTTTCCCCTCTGCTGACTGGAGCCGATGAACTGGCCAAAACAAACCAAAAATCCCTAACCTTACAGAAAAGTTTATTGGGAAATCAAATGGTAGCTAATGCTGGTGGAGACAATAAAGAGGGACTACTCTTTCTGGTGACCTGTTAGCTGAAACAGTGTTTATTATAAAACAGTCCCCCCTGCAAGCAGTTGTGGATGCTCTTCTTCCCTAAAGCACTAGGTATAAAAACCTGATTAGCTAGTAAATCATAGGAAGTGTGTTCTGTAGTGTCACATCTTTAATAGTTGGAGAGATGTGATCTAAATATTGCACAGAAATTGATTAATTCACATTGTGGCCAAGATGTTTGAAGGAAATTAGAACTTCGTAGGTCTACTCATTGCAAGAAGGGGAATTTAATATAGGATTACAGTCTCATTAGAAGCAGTATGCTCATTTATTTCTTTGAAGAGCGTGTGCAGACATCAAGGTTGAGGTCATAACAGTATTGCCATGTTCTCACCCCTTTCACCCCTGGGTCTTTAAAATAAAGTCCACCAAGAAGAAAGAAACTGGGTGAGAGTAGAAGCTGAGGTTAATTTTAACTTGATCATGCTGAGACAACCCACCAGCCTCTCTGCAATCATTAACATAAGATTACTTTACTTGTTGGTTCGGAATGAACAGAAACCTATTGTACATTGAAAGAAGAGACTTGTTCTGTGAAGACCTCTGTGAACTCTGACCTGTGAAATGACAGAAATGCAGCACCTGCAAGCAGAAGGAACTACCCGTTTCAGCACATACCTCCATCTTGTAGTGGCCCAGGGTTTGAAATAAGGGGCTTATCACTTAACAGCTTTCATGTGCGACAGAACGCACATACACAGGGAAAACCTAATGTCTGGCCCCATATACCCAGAGATTTTTAATGTATGTGAAGGAGTTGCCTTTGTGATAAAAAGGGGGAGGCATGCATCTCAGTGAAAAACATGACTGGCAAAAACATCTTTTGTTCACTCCTACCTCCCCAGCAAGTTGTCTGAAAGTAGATCATAAACGGGGATGCATCATTACTATTATCTCCCGGTATGACTCACTGAGCTGTATATAGCAGCTCATCTTTTGAGGAGAATTCTTGCTCAGAGCAAGTAGAATGTGGAAACAAATATTAAATGTCAGACTGTTATGTCACTGTTGCATTAGAATTTCTTTCATGGCAGATAAAAATGGCTAAATAAGACAGGCCTTGGTGTTCAAGCCATTTTAAGCAGGTATTGTCAGGTTAAAAATCCTCATTAGTTTTCTCCTGATTTGATGCTCTTATTTTCATAATATTTATCTCTTTTTGGGCAACAAGAATGTGTTTGTTGATTGCACTAGCAAATTCTGGGGTATTTCAGTATTTGGATTGCTGGTAATGCAAGGTAGCAGGTGTCTTTTTGAGCATGCTTTTAGGCTTTTTTTTTAATTTGTGTTTTTAAGAGCCCTCTGCCTTTGATTGCCTGATCATGCCCCAAATTAGTTCTCTGTTCTCTTTTAGTTGTAAAGAAACTGCTTGTGACATCCAAATACGGCTCATAATGTTGATCGCTTTTAAAGTTCTTCTGTCCTCCTCTTAGAAAGATTGGCTTTCTGGAGTACTAGCAGCATCCTCCCTCCATATTTTGCATTCATTTAGTACCTTGAAATTCAGACTGCTTTTCTTGCCAAGAAAGACTAGCCAAGGCTTTCTTCAGAGCTTCAGTGATTGCTGCTGGATGAGCCGCTCCATCCTTATCCCCAGATGAACTCTAGCCTGGGGATCCAGAGCTCTGTTTTTCTGGTGCTCTTGCCAGTGTCACTTTTGTTCCACGTCCGCTGCTGTAGTAAAGTACCGTGTTGTTTGTTTATGTTGCATGTATGTTGACTCAGCTTTCACTTCAAACAAGCGCTCAACTTTTTAGAATATGCACTGGGAAACAAGAATCCTGTCTTGTGTTTTGTGATACTGGTAACATATTAACAAAGCTGTGTTAGTAAAAAATATTCCTGTGTTCTGTTACAGGTTCTGGGATTTGAAGTTGACACGGTGAACTCTGTCCAGTTTTCAAACCACACAGGTAAAATTTTCAGATACCACTCCACAGTCACTCAGCTCTACTGAACTTGTGGCTCACTTCATCACATGATAGTGGAAAGGAGATTGGTCTTATGTTTCTACTCACATTTTCAGCATATAGGACAGAAATGTAGTTTTCGTGTTTTGATTCAAGTTTTACAGATGTCTGGATTTGGGATTAGGGCATGATATGATGTGGTAATGTTCTGTTCTGCTACTTCAGAGTGTGAGTTTCTTTTGTTAGGCAGTAATGTAGTTAACTCAGACAGTGAAATAACACAAATAGGGCCATTATGCAGGCAGGCCTGTGAACAGGGGAATTGTCAGTACTGTTTTCTGTGCATTATGACCCTATGACACTCATATTCGTATTACCAACCCAAACATCAAAAGAATACTGAGCTAGATGCAATGTTTCCTCTCTTTATGTGCCCACTCAGATGGCTAGCAAGTATCCTAAAATTACATTCTGGAGGGAGGAAGGGATGGGGTGTTAATACATTTGGGTATATTTTTACTTGGATTCTAAGCCTGAAAATGGTGCACTCACATAGTACTTTCAGACTTCCTAACACTCACAGTGCTAGAAGACTTTATTTTTCAAAAGAAAGGTGAAATTTGTTTATTCTAGGAATACCTTTCACCCATCAAGCAGCTCCAAGTGGCTTGCTATTTTTGGACCAATAGAGACATATCTACTATCATGGTAGTGGCAGGTTGTTTGAAGGGAGATCTACTCTAGATAAAGAAATTCATAGGGTGTCTTAAAAATTATCCAGGAACAAATTACAACTTAAACATCTTGGAAAAGAGCAAAAATTGTTTCTGACAAAGAAAAGAAAAAGACAAAAGTTGAGACACTTTGCTAGTATCTCTCAGGTATAGCTCTATTAATAAACTACTAAATGTTTGGAACAGAGAGCAGACCAGGAAGCGTCTCTCCTCTCTTACTATGTTGAGCTCCATGCAGCTTTCAAAAGGTTACAACGTGTTCCTATCATGAAAGGAATTTAGTGTCACCCTGAGAAGAAGAAATGAATGTTTCAAAGGTAGCTAGAAAGCCAGCAGAAAGGCATGAAAGAGGTAATAATTAAACAAGGGGTGGGTGTCTTTCCTGGCTCAGGCGAAAAGCTGATTATTTTGCTTGTACCCTTTGGCACAGTACAAAGGTTCTCTCATGTTTTTAAGAGATATTTAGATGTGACTTACGTTTCTTTAATGTATTTAGTTTAGGAGTTTGGGATTTTTTGTTGTTTAGTTTTTGATAGCTGGGTAAAACTGTTGTAATCTTCCAGAAATGAAGCCATTTTTTTCATGTGAAATAACTCAGCGCTCAAAATGGTTGAGCACCTGTCATTTGTTACTTTTCGGTTTCAAGATTAAATCAGCTTTATAGGGTGTTAGAAGAGCTTAATAGAGGTTTTATTGGACCATAAACCGAACGTGTCGGAAGGTAGGAAAATTACATTACCAATAGGATGATCAGGTTCTTAAAATGGAAGACAAGGAAGATTTTTATTTTTTTTTTTAATAGCATCACAGCTGGAGAAAGGTTACCAATGCTTCATTCAAGTTTTGTCAGACAATGAAGATGGTAGAAGGAAAAATAAATTAGTGATTCCCCACCCCCTCAAGAAAGCCTAACTGAACATCCCAAAACCAAAAATGTCTCAAAGATGACAAGTCTTTAAAATATTTGGAATTTTTGTTTTGTCTCCTGGTGTTTAGGAGTTACATTGTTACTTTTTTTTCCTGTCATCTTGATTGTCTTAGTAAATGTGTTTAAAAAATCTCAAAGATTGCTGCACAACCTCATAACTTTGAGAAGCAGAGCTTCAGAAAAAAATCACAGTATGGTGTTTGGCACTTGCCAAGCGTGAGTAAGAGGAGATTGTATTTAGCAGTATTGGTAATTTGGCTGAAAGAGGAAGGAATGGAAGAGAAAGGAAGGGTACATATTCCCTTTTATGGCAAGTCTATTTTTCTAACACTGCGGTTTTTCCATGAAATCCTTTTTTACCCTTTCTTAATTTGAAGGTAGATTCTAAGTCCAGTGGCTTTGCACCTCCTCTTTGAGAGAGGCATGTAGGAACATGTGGTGTCCTCATATGAAGACTTTTCCAATCTTGAACATTTACACATGGCTGCACGTAAACTCGTGCTAGTACCTGCAAATCAATGTATTTGTGGTCTGTGCCACTGCAGGGATTAATGAACAGAAACTGCCGTGCTGGGCTGTGGCTTGTGTCTGGAGCAGTGCCACAATACACAGGAATCATGTGTTGTATGAACCAGCAAAGATAACTTGATTTTCCTACGAGAAGAAGATCTTATTAAAACACTTTCTGTCGTCATCATTAAAGCTGAAGGGCAAATTTTTGCTTCAAAATCTGTGAACTCCAGTTTCTAAAAGAATGTGATATACCAGAGGGGGCACAGGTAGCAAAGTGTGTGAAGTTTCAGACATGGCGTTCTTTCTTTCTCCATCCCTGTCTCTAAACCTGGTCTTGTCAGCAAAATATAAAATGCAGAGAGAATTTATGACTAACAGGCTTTCTTTGGTGAATCATTATTGTGCTTTTTTTGCCCTGTTTTTAAATTAGTAAGATACCACAGGCCTATTTCTGGTGACCCCTGCTCAGAAAATTCAGCTTTCTTAGTCTCTGATAAACCCAAAATTCAGAAAGTGTGCTTTAAATCAGTTCCCCTGGGAGAACAGTTTGTCGTGTTGCTTGGTGAGAAACTTTTATGAATAGAGTGACTCACCCTTGAATGGCATCATGCTTCATATGCGAATAAAAGAAGCTGTCATGCAACCTACAAAGATTCTGTGCTTTTTATTCTACTTTATTGTGTTGTTTGAGAAGGCATCTCATTGTCTGATGTGCAAAAATGAAATGATTTTTTTTTATTATTATTGTATTGGTGATTTTTTTGGGTGCATTTTTAATTCTTCAGTTATTTTCATCTTTGTTTTTAATTGTTAGGTTGATGGTAAGCTTGTAATGTGCTTACTTTGAAATCCAAATCCTGCCTTTGAAACTGCTCCAGAATAAATAGCCTGTTTCTTTTTTGTTCCTTTCCTTTTCTTTTTTTCTCTTTTTATTTTTAAGCAAAGCACTTTTGACTTCCACTTAGTGGGTGGGTTGGGTTGGCTGGTAGGTCTAATACATGAGAAATTATGTCTCGTTGATGTGATTCTTCACAGTCTGCCACCAATACGCAGTCATTCACACCTGGGCAGTGCGGGACAAAAGGAAAAGATCTCCACTTGTGCCTAACACTGGTAGTGTTTTACTCCCACACTGACAAGCTGTGAAAAATCCAGTGGAGAGTTTGGTACTGCATTTCTGGTTTTGCTGAAGGCCTCCTGGTAGCTGAAGATTGGGTCATGTTTAGACCAGGTTTTGTAACAGGTTTGTGTGGTGGGGTTTTGTGTAGCGGGGAGAGGGGGCTCCAGGGATGGCTCCTGTGAGAAGCCCCTAGAAGCTTCCCTGGCTCCAAGTTGGACCTGCCTCTGGCCCAGGCAATGGTGGTAGCGCCTCTGTGATAACATATTTAAGGAGGCAGAAAAAAACGTGCTGAAAAGCTGAAGTGGAGAGAGAGGAGTGTGACGTGAGAGAAACAACTCTGCCAACGCCCAGGCCAGTGCAGAAGGAGGGCAGGAGGTGCTCCAGGTGCCGGAGCAGAGGTTCCCCTGCAGCCCGTGGTGCAGCCCATGGTGAGGCAGCTGTGCCCCTGCAGCCGTGGAGGGTAACGGGGGAGCAGAGATACACCAGAGCAGGTGGTGCCCAAAGGAGGCTGTGACCCCATGGGAAGCCCGTGCTGGAGCAGACTCCTGGCAGGACCAGTGACCAATGGAGAGAGGAGCCCAGGCTGGGGCAGGGTTCAGCACTTGTGATTCCCTGGGGGACCCACGCTGGAGCAGCCTGTGAAGAACTGCAGCCCATGGGAAGGACTCACGCTGGAGAAATTTGTGGAGCACTGTCTCCTGTGGGAGGGACCCCATGCTGGAGAGGGGAAGAGTGTGAGGAGTCCTCCCCTGAGGAGGAAGGAGCAGCAGAGACAACGTGTGATGGACTGACTGCGACCCCCATTCCTTGCCCCCTGCACTGCTGGTGGGGAGGAGGTAGAACAAATTGGAAGTGAAATTGAGCTGGGGAAGAAGGGAGGGGTGGGGGGGAGGTGTGTTTTTAAGTTTTAGTTTTTATTTCTCATTATCCTACTCTGATTTGACTGGTAATAAATTGAACTGATATTTTCCCCAAGTCGAGTCTGTTTTGCCCGTGACCATAACTGGTGAGTAATCTCTCCCTGTCCTTGTCTCAGCCACTGGGGTTTTACCCTTTTTTTTCTTCCTATTAACCTCCCCATCCCACCACAGTGGGGAGGAGTAAGCAAGCAGCCGCATGGTGCTTAGTTGTCGGCTGAGCCTAAACCACAATGAGTTTGCATGTGAATTTTGTGACACAGCTCGGACCAGATTACCTGCTCATCATGTGCCTTCATCACTAGATCTTTCTTCCTTTTTCCCATGTAAAATACTTAGTTACTGAAGCAACTTTAAATAGTTCTGCAGGAAACACCACAGGAGAAACTCAAACCTCAGAACAGAATGTTCTGGCTTGGAAAACAAAGAAATCCTACGTGCCTTGCTGTACTTAAATGTTTGGTTTTTGGGTTTGTAGTGAGTTTTTGTGTCTGTGTGTGTTTTTTCTTCTGGTGTGCCTGGGATTTTCTATCTTTTCTTTTTTCCTTGTTTTTTGAAGTAATTAAGAGGCTTATAAATACATTCCAAAGGAGAAAAAAATGTACAAGTGGAGGAAGGCAGGAAAGAAAAGTATGTAAATTCATCTTGTGTGCAGTATTAGCTGCCTCTCTTGCTTATGGTTTTGGTTTTTTTTCTTTTTTCATACAGATGAACCAAGACATTTCCTTGGAGACTAATGAATACGTTTATCACTTTAGAGGGATAAGTGACAAGAGGCATCATACCTTACCTGTTTTTCATTCCTTTATATTCTTTAAAGCAAATATATAAAATTTAATTGCAATAAAAGGCCATAGCACAGATATGCAGAAGGGGTATAAAGATGTTTAAATGTTAATGTTCAAGTATGTGTTTAAAATTACTACTAATCTGGGAGACTAATGCTGTCAGTCTGAGCCAAGTGTGGTTTTGGAGAGCTGTATCATGATTTGCAGTGTTCTCTCTGCTCTCTCAGTCCAGCATTGGCGGTTTTGTAACCAAAACAAGGAAGACTCAGCTTTCTTCCTCTATGGAAGATACAAGCCAAGATCTCACCTTGATATCCAAGATAAAAGAGTAATAATTTGATCCAGCTGCTATGCCTAGCCAGCTCAGTAGTCTCCAAATGGGATGCAGTTCTTTTGCCAAATATGAACTTGAAACTCATTCTTTAGTTTTCTTGGCTGTGGTTCTTGTATAATGTGTGCCAATAGCTAGGTACTGTGAGACTTTGAACTTCTATATTGTTGACTGCCACAGTGAAAATATTATGGCAGAGTAGGAGTTACAGTAAGCGGCCAGTTAAATGGAAGATTTTAAGTTTTCTCTTGCTGATTTTCAGCTATTCATATTTAGTGGTATAGGCATAGGAATAACATTTCTAGGAAGCTGACTTTCTTTTGGGTCTTGCAAGGCAACTCTGGGCCTTCAAATGTGCTTGTTGCCAACTGACTTCTCACGTCTAGCCGAGGAAGATGGCAATTTCTCGTTATCATCCTTAACTCTAATTGCTCTCATGCTTTTCCCTAAAGCCAACTGGACCTCACATGTTTAATCTTGCTGTTGGCATTCCCTGCTAACTAGCTTTGGGTTCAGGGCTATGCAGTGTTTTTTTGACCACACAGTATCTATCTGGATTTTTGCTGGACCTCACCCCCCATGCCTTTCCCCTTTCAAGATGGTCCCTCTAGCTCAGGAGAGGGACCACAGGGTATCCATCCTTCAGTTAGTGAAACCCTTTCTGAACATGAGGCTTTTTCTTCTGTTCCTCTGCAGAAGCTGCTTTTTGGTTGTATATTCCACCAGGAGAGCAGGATAAATGCAGGGTCATGGGATTTGCCCCTTGTTCATCACGTTACATGAAGTTACCTTGGGGAAAGGGCTTAGGGTGTTTTCCATCTTGTTGCCGGTTTTGATTTTATTTGTTTTTTTCTTACTCTAATATTAAACTCCTAGTGAAATTACAGTTCTCTGCAGGTCCAATTAAGGCATTGCCCTTTTTCTGCTGTCTGAGTAGCTGGGGCTTCCCTAGGTCTCTTTTTTTCCCCTCCAGTTATCATGTGATTAGACTTTGGGTTGTATTACACGTGTTACCAGGTGGTAAGAAGGATCCTCTAAATACCCTTGGAAGTCATTGCTATAGAGTTCGGACAATGTCCCTGCCCTGTGTGGGTAATGTAACAATTCCGGAGATTGTAGCAGATTGTAGCTGGGCTGCTACCTAACATTTTGTTTCTGTGTTTGTTTCCCTCCCTTGGTGGAGGAGCCGTGGCACACGGACCCTCTGCACTGACTGCTAAAGACAGCTTGGCATGGGAAGATAAACTTTCAGTTAAATAGTGACTGTGCAGGGTCCCTCTGTAGGAACGGCTCCCAAGAGTATCTAGATAGTCTGGACAATCTGTTGTAGTTATTTTTATGACCATGTGTAAGATGAATGCTCTTTTGCGGTCTGATCTTGATTCTGGGTGAAAACTGTACTTGATTTCATTGACAGGCACAATGAAATAAAAAGGACTGTGGTGTGTCCCTGAACAGACTGGCTTTGCAGTGCTAGTAGAAGCAGAGATTTGTGGAAGAGGAGAGAGGGCAGATATTTTTCTCTGAAGCTGCAGATGTGACAGAAACAGCTGCATATGTGTTAAATAAGCCCAATATTTGAATCAGTTGTAGCCAAGGGTTCCTCATATACTTGGGGCTAGACTCATGCCTGAGTGTTAGGTGTTGCCGTTCTGAATATCACTATATTCTGGAGTGGAACTGCAGCCCTAACATACGGGAATCCCTCACTTTGTCGGCTTCTTCACAAGGACTTTTTAAAAGGCATTTGCTAGGGAGGGAATTGTAGTGGCTGATGTGAGTCAGTCTCCCAGCCAGCTGGCAGCGAGTCGTGTTTTAGAGGCTGGGCCTTCTTGAGCTGAGGAGAACAAAATGATCCATCTGCTCACCCTGTTGTGGGTGTATTTGCATTCATAAGAAGGAAAACTGAAAAATGTGCTTATCCTAGGCTCTAGGCACCTTTTGGCAGTTACTCTAATAACACAGTTTAGAGTGATAATCAAAGCCAACAGTTTTTATCACAGAATTTTCTAACTCCAAGAGCAGAAATTAAAACAAAAAACGAAAATACCATTGTCTTCACCCAGGGGTGGTGTGGAAGAAGATACCTCATTTAACATTTCACTTTTCCCAATTCCAGTTAATAAAAAGATAAGTTTTTTAACAAAATCTGAATTTGTGGAGGTGGAGGGTTAAATTGTGGGTGCTTCATCTAATAACTTGGAGGAAGCCCCATTCTTATATACAAGGGAGTGATGGCTGCCATCTATATGGGCACTTTGATGAAAAGGTGCAAGATGAATTTACATTTTTCAACCAATGTTTAGAGTCTGTCAAGGAAGACTTTTTTACTTCACCCCCTCCTCTTAAGTTGGCTGCTATGGAGCTTGGCCCATTGTTTGCTGAAATCAATTGAGCTTCTCCCAAGTAACTTCACTTTCGCTCTGCTTCTCAACTGAGAATATTGGCTTGTGATTGTTAGAGATCATTCAGGTATAAGAGTGTGTGGATATTATTTGTCTGTTTATATTGTCTTTCCGATACTCATTTGCCTTCTCCAGGAACCTCAGCATTAAAATTGTGCTATTTTTGTGAAGAAAATCTGTCAGATGATATTGTAAATTTACAGCATCCATGACAGTGTTCTGCTGTGATCACTCTATTTGTTACATGCAGGTCCCAGTGAACGCCGTATCTGATGGATGCAGCAGTGCTGCATGCCTGGGTCCAGACAGATCTAAAAGCCTGTTTAAGCTTGTCATCTACCTGTCAACCTTTTTCTTTTTTTTATAGTATAAAATTACAAAAATGGATTATACTAACACCCTCCTCTGATGAAGTCTAAAACATACCTTTGTCTCCCTCCACACAGGAAAGGGATAGTTGTATAGGCTCCATGGGAAAACTTGCAAGAGCCTGTGTGTAGTCTGCTCAATTTGCTGATAAAGGAACAGGCTCAAACACCAGTGTAGTCACTCTAGTTCCTTTGGGAAACACAGGTGCTAGGAAGTAGAGCACATAACTGTTCTGCTGACAGCAGCTTTCATTTGGCAATGGTGTTTTACAGAGGGGGAGGTGGAAATGCTTTCTGGTGCTGATAGCCGATACAGTCTGTCCAAGTGTATAATCTAGGTCATCCTAAATGGAAAATCTAGCTGTATCTGGCTTTTATTTTGCAGGTTATGCCCACTGGAAGGGTCAGGTGTTAAATTCAGATGAACTTCATGAACTGTACGAAGGACTTAAGCTGAACAAGGTCAACCAGTACGATTATGTACTCACAGGTAAGAAGAGCTTGTTCCTTGGTGTTCCCATGAGATGTAAACAAAAGTAGAGATATATAAGCCATATCTCTCCTTATTACAAACTGAGCAATTAGATTTGGTCCCTCCTTTGATCCCTCCTGCAAGTTCATCTGTTTATTATTATCTCAACCGCTCATGCTGTTTCGTTTGAAAGAGCCAGTGTTCCCCAGCCTGAAGGTTGTAATTGGGTGGGTAGATCGATCCCCTTGTATAGTTTACAGATTTGTACAGGCCAGTCACGTACAGACTTAATTAATGTTTTGGGAGTGCCTCTACTGAAAAAAAGATGAGGAATGTCAGAGTATTATTTTTATAATTTATTACGAAGACATGAGTTTAACCCTTTCTCCTAAACTTGCAGTACTGGCACTCTGCAGTACTATAACATGATTTTATACACAGTTGTCTGACTGTTTTTTCTACTTGATCTTCAAGGGGTAGTGCTTTGGATACAGAGCAAAGTATAAGCAGGGTTGCATTTTGGTTTTGACTCTGTCGTATCTCTTGATTTTTTTCCTCTTGTTACTATGTAGGTCCTCTGAGTGGCAGTTCTGTAGGACATAATAACTGTGCAGTGTTTTCCTTTGCTTGGCACTAGGTGCAAAGTGTTTAGAAGTATAGGCAAAGACAACTTCTTGTAGAATGCTTTATAGAAAGGAGAGATTCTGTGTGCAGTGTTTATTAAAAACTGCTTCTCATCCAATTCCTGCTTCTCAAATGTATATTACTGATCAGGTTTCACCACAGTAAGAGCTATGCATCTGATTTAGATTACAGTGTCAATTTTTTATAGCAGTGAACAGTCACTTTTTAAAGGTAAAAAGAAATATATTGCCAGATTTGACTTGATTTAATGGCTTCCACATGCAGGAAAGTGCTTTAAACACAGGGAAAACTGAAGACTTTAAGTGTATGCATGATAACCCCAAAGCAGTCATTCTGGCTTGAAGGGTGTGGCATGTTCGAAGAGTTATTGTCAGTTCTTTTACAGGGAATATCTCCAAAGTAAAGGAGACTAAACAGAAAATAGACTAAACTAAGGTTAAGAAATTAGTTTCAGCATAAATGGATTCTATGTCACTGAGAAACAGAAAAACACCCTTTCTTTCCTTTAAAGAACTCTCACAGAGAATATTTTCAGGAAAAACACAATGTATTGTAGGTGTTTTCAGGTGATGTTAGATGCAAAATTTGTAAATAATGTTTGAGTATTCTTTTAGCTGAAATGTTCCTTTTTTTATTTTACTTTCATCTCTTGGAAGAGACCCCAACTCCTTTCCTATCATGGTCTTGCCCTGGCAAAATGGATGTAAGAGATTAAAAATGGTAGAAGGAAAAGCAGAAATCTTCATCAAAGAAGACATTTTGGAGGAAAAAAGGAATATTTATTAATATGCCTTTTAAAATAGGATTTATGAGTAGATGGATCAGTGTGTTCGTTTTTAAAAAATCTCGTTCGGTGTAGCCATTTTCAGTACAGACAGAAAGAAGGCATGGATAGAAATGGCACTAATTTCTTAACATCTAAGAACACTCTCAGTGTTCAGTTCAGTTGTGCTGTGGCTGAACTTAAAATTCAGGTTTTTTCATTCAGGGCCAAAAGACTGATTTTTCTCTTCAAACAGGAGCAGCCATTCACTATAGTGCACAACTGTGCTTTGTACCCCCAACAACCTGGATATGATTATTCAAACACTGAAAAGAAATTAATTTGTCAGCAGATGGGATTTGACTGTAATTGTATGTCTGGTGACTGTAGATATCTTGGCTGAGATGGAAATTATTATCTTTAGGCTGATGATACAAAATAACACTTTGTTAACTTTTGTAACTGTTAGTTACTTGTAGATTTTCATATATTTATTTACAGTGAAGCAATCAAGGTAAGAGATGAACTCCAATTCAGTATAAATTTCTTGAAATATCTCTGTCAATAATGTTAATCGTACTCTCTATTTTTTTTGACAGCCAGTCTACCATTAAAGGTCATTTTAAACAAAAATCTTTGCTTTGCTTTTTAGACTGATCATCAGCATTTCACAGACATAAGACAAAGTATTTTGGCCAAAAATCTTGGAAGCTTTTTCCATTTCTCTGCAACACCTAAGAATTAATCAATTTTGCAAGTTAAAAAAAAATCTCTAAAATGTATTTTAAATCTTTTAGTAGAGTCAACATTTCCAAGCTGAACGTTTGAAGAAGCTACCTTGATAAAAATAACGCTATTAAGTGAACTAAAATAACTGAAAATGAAATTATTAATTAATAAATTTGCAAATAAAGTTAATACATAAAATATATAAATAAAGAAACATCTATAAAATAAAAAAATTAATGATTAAATAAGAATATGGTGGTCTAGCATGCTGATTAGGGCCTTGAGATATAATAAAACTTATCTCGAGCTTATTTCACTGCTAAGCCTAAAAATAGGGATCTTATAGGTGTATTGGCCATTGCTCTAAAATATTCAAGACTAATTCTCCATTGCATTAATGTGTTGGACTGTATCAGCACCAATATTAATAATAATAAAAAACCTGCTTCAAACCAGAGTATGAGAAAAGTATATGGAATCTAAAATATTTCTTATTTACTTACATGATAAACAGTATTGATTTGGACTGCTGTTTTGAAGAAAAGGAGTGGTTTTTTTCTCTTCAGCCTGACCTTTCTATATGTATGTTCAAGCACTTTGAAGTTATATGAGGCCTTCATATATAACATCCATATAACATGGAGTTTTAAGGTTATATTTGTAGTTGTGCACGCATTGTCTGAAGTTGTCTTCCACCTGGCATTCCCAAATGAAATACTAAAATGCCTTTGTTCTAAAAATGCATTGTTCCAAAGAATGAGTAGTATGCAACATTCTTATAAAAAAAAAAAAAAAAAAAGGGGGGCATTCATGAAAATAGGCTTCAAAAGTGTCTTTTTTTCCCCAAAGGGTATACAAGAGACACATCGTTTCTTGCAATGGTGGTGGACATTGTCCAGGAATTGAAGCAACAGAATTCTAACCTTGTATATGGTAAGAGTGTGTATTATGATCCTTTCTGCATCATCATTGTATATGCTGATCATTTTCACATTTTAGGATGAAAACGCTGTTCTGAGGTTACCCAGCATTACCCTGATCTGGCTTGGGACAGCTGAGGCTCCAGTGAAGTTTTGTTTCAGCGTTGCTTAAGTGTTGAGGGAGTTGTTTTTTCATCTGATTTTATGCCTTTCAGTATGTTTCTTGCATCTTGGCATCCAAGGGAGAATGTGCCTTGAAGACTGATTGTCTGTATCCAAGAAAGGCTTGTAAAATCCCAGCTGGCTGCTGCTGTTCATAGTTCAGAGGTGTAGGCTGTTAAGTGCTGATAGCTGAAAGCCTCTCCTTGATTTCCGAGTCAGTCAAAAGCAGGATAGACTCTCCTGTGTTCCCCTGCCATGGTTTCATGTTACATCCCAGAAGAAGTGTCTTACTGTGCCTTATAAGCTTCATAATTTAGCTTGAACTCCAAGGCTTTTTCAACTCTGGTGTCCTCTGCTAAGGTTATGTAGGCACATTGAAAGAGCAGCAGACTCTAGCAACTGCCATCATTAATGTGTCTTGTGAGGCTTACACCTGTGAGAAAAGATTCTCCTCTTTCCTTCCTGCCTTTCTTGAGTCTTTTAAGATTTCTGAAGATAACCAGTGTAGGCTTGAATTGAGCAAAATACTTAGAGTGACAGGACAAAGTCAGTGGGGTTTTAGTGGGATACAAAGCTGTGAATGATGGTTTGAGTCTGTTGTCCTCAGGTTCAGTAAACTGTATGGTAGGAAACATCTAGAATAGTTTCCAGGATTTGCAAGGTGTAATACTGACAAGTGTGATACCTGACTTAAAATTAACAAAGCACAGTTCTCATTATAAAAAATGTAGCAGAGGTGTCTTCATGAATTTGGGTTTTGTTACTTTTTAGACTTTATTAACGCTGTTGCATTGTCACGTTCTACAGAGCCTTGTACTAGTAAGTGAAAGCAAAAAAACACTTTTGGCTTATTAGCAGAAAGAAATACCGTAACTGTATAGAAGAGGAAGGAAGTGGTCAGATGTCAGGAACACAGCTAGGCTTCTAAGATCCTTTATATTTAATAAATAGATTATAATGTAAGGAAAATACTTTTAAAATGGAAACCAAATTGCTCTTTTTACTCATAGAAACATCCTTAAATACTGATTGGACATTGATTTGATACCTTTGGATTTGTATTTCTTTTTTATCTTCCAAAAAGCTCTTTTAATACAATGAACAATGTTCCTTTTTAAAGCACAAGGCTAGGCTGATTCCATCTTAACTTTGAAACTGAAGGCACTTGGAATATTTTGTTAATACTGATGACGACTCAGAACCTGTGCCAAATGTGTGTTAATATTATTACACCAAGTATGAGTTTATGTGCTTTGGCATGGATTTTCTTCTTGTTTCATTATAGTACACATAATTGTTTTTTATGTGTACACACAGTATTTTGTTGTGTACGTTTGGCATGTATCTTTTTACACTAAAGTAAAAATAGGACTCTCTTGGCAGCTATGAGCTTCTCCCACGTTTTTTCCCCACCATACTATTTTTCCAGAGTTTTGGTTTGGGAAGTCAAGGGGAGGGCTCTCTGCATTTTCCGTAGCAAAAGTCAGACCTCCTCATCACCTTCAGACATAACAACATGGAAGCAGTTAGGAGAGGGTGACTACAACCCACTGACGCTTTTTTAAGACACATGGCCTACTCTTTCAGAATTGGCAGCCACCGGTGATGAATCTCTGGTTGAGTGTGCTGCAAGAGCTGAGTATATGAGCTATCAGATGCTCAGTGATGTTACATAGCCACTACTGTTACCTAAAATTTTTCCTTCCCGCCAGGGTCTCTATGAGTGTCCCCCATTTCTAAAGCTAGATTTATTCTGTTACAGTATGCGATCCAGTGATGGGTGACAAATGGAATGGAGAAGGCTCTATGGTTAGTACTTACCTGTTTGAATTCTCTGTATAGTTAATATTTGCTATATAAAGATTTATTGATTTTTAAACACCAGTTCTAAGCTACTTTGCCTAAGTGTGGCTTTGGATCCCAGCATCAAGTAAGTTTGTACTTTAATTTCCTGTAATTGGATGAGTTTTGTATCTGGGAAGAATGATGGCTGCATAGCCCTGGGATTACTTCTAACTCTCTGCTGAGAAAACAGGTGGAATACAGGCCGTGTATGCAGGAAAATATCCCCCTGCTCCTCCTCCTTATCTCACTGGAGTTCCCTCATCTTCTGTCAAGAGCTCTGTTTTGGCTGGTAGCTTGGCTGGCATTGTTGGTGATCATGTGAACTGACATACCACTTGAACCTAAATGAAGATGACTTATTTCATATGAGATCCAACAGCTGCTAGGCACTGGGCTGTGATCAGTGACAGAAAGGTTCTGTGTGCCAATACCAGACTGCATACTGACAAAGAGACATACCTTTTTGGTCAAAGCTAGCAAATAGTTTCAGTAGAAATGCAACGTGGGAAGACAACAGCAATAATGATATTTTATGTTTTCTTCTGCCTTAGTTAGTCATGCACTATGAATTCCTCTTTGTCCTTGTACCTTTTTACAGTTTACCTGCTCATAAAACATCACATGAAATAGCACTTAGTAATAAATTTGCCATTGCTTTTGTATTCTGTTCTTTCATTTTATGTCTATTGCAATATTTATTGTCCTTGGCTTTTTCTAACAAGGCAGCTGTAGAGTCACCTTGCAAAGCCTTAGCTCTTGCAAGAGATCATAACCGTGGGCCTACCTACCTATATCTTTTGGGTGGCAGACAGGGTAGATGGAAGAAGAGGAGAAAATACAACACACAACCCACCAACTCATTCCTGCCATAAAAACTAATAAAATCATTAATTAAAACACACTGGTTTAGACAGGACCTAGTCTTGCATTTCTGTCTAAAGGCGGAGTCCCTGTGACATCATCGCTTCACCATGGCTATGAGTGAGCTCGGTATCAGTATGATGGGTGTTCTGGTAGCACTTAAGTGGTCAGCACTGTGGTAGGGTTGTCTGTTGCTGATACAGTTGGAATGGGAGACAGTAATACATGGACATATGTATACATGCACCCTGCCCTGCATAGCTTATGAGCCTAACAGAGAAATAAATCATGGACAAAAGGGGATATTAATCCTGATTTAGCAAATGGGGTTCTGCCAGAGAATATCAGCTACTAGTAAACAATGAACTTTATTATGAAACATTTTGTTAAACTGAGTTACAGCAGGATTTGGGAATGGGAGGTGATCCCTTCTAACCCAAACTCCTAGCAGAGCTCCAGTTTGTGCCAAAACAGCTGATGCTTTTAAGCTTTGAGTCTGAAAAGCATACAGGCTGGTTGGCTCCTGCTACATCGTAGGATATGTCACCTGCTTAAACAGTCTCCCTTTGCTGGTGGGCTGTGTTTAGCTAATGAAGATGGGATAGAGATGGGAACAGGCGGGCACAAAGGGGAGCACTGGCCCTCATTCCTTGAAGAGCTGATTCTGCAGGCAGCGAAGCATGCTAGAGATTTGTTAGACTTGGGTGCAACACAAGCAAAATATTTTTATTGTCCTGATCAGAACTGGTTTCTAGATTAAGTTGTACTGAACAAATTACAAATCTGATTCCTGTTCATGCATATTAATGTACAGCACACCCTAGAAATACTATGCTGAAAGAAGGAGACAAAGTAACACATATCACGGACGTTACTTGTTCGTAAGCCCCACAACATATAACAATCAATGTGGGCACACGCTACTGCAGCAAAGGACCTCTGTACTGTTGGTGCACCAACAAAGTCGTTTCTTTTGAAGGTAGGGACGTGAGAAAGGGTTCCCTATGTTGGGACACTGTATTTCCTCATGCTGCTGTGTCACCTTGATGAGAGGGAACCCAAAAGTTCTTCATCCAGGCACCACTTCCTTTTAATGCTGCCAGTTTAGGCCTGTCTGCTTAGCAGTTCTTCTCATCGCCTCCAGTGAAGGAAGGGCTTTTGGCTGTACTGTCACCAGCTGGAGGATGCACTGCTGCATTAGTTAATGCTGCGTAACAGTACAATGGGAGCTGTCAGGTTCCTCAGTGACAGCATGAATGGTAGTTGAGGGAAGGAGAGTTCCAGTCCCACATCTCAGATGCTGCTGACAACATGTGATGCTGTTTCTTCCCCCGTAGTATGTGCCCAAGGATCTCCTCCCAGTCTACCGGGACAAAGTTGTACCTGTTGCTGATATAATTACTCCTAACCAGTTTGAAGCTGAGTAAGTACTTACTTCCTTTGATAGCCAAATAAACTTGGGGATAAAAGCAGGGGAGACTGGTATCAATTCTTTTATTTGTCTCAATACAGTGCCATACGTATGTTTGTGTTGGGTTTTGTTTTTTAGCTGTTACTATAAAGTGGTGCTTTTCAGCAAACCTCCAACTGTTTAATAATTAAACCAATAAAAAAAATCTGGGAGTTATTTGAGGAACAGAATTATCTTGTTTTCTCTGGTCTCTCATTTTTATGATTACTTCGTGTTATCTCCAGAGGTCTGTATCTAGGGCAGGTTGAAAAAAGCACCTCTCTTCCCTTTCCTTCCCCACTCCTAGGAATTTTTTTTATTATGTGTCAGAATATCAAAACTGAAATAGTTTGACTCAAATCCCCCAGATTTGATTCAGAAATACTACCATGGCAAAATCTCATAGGAGTTAATGTAAATGCTTCCTGCCTGTCCTGTCTACATAGCTATGTACTCTCTAGTGAGGAGATTAACTGTTGTGATACATCACAGGCTGTCCCCCTAAGGGGAGGGAGCAGCTACGTGGGAGATGGCGAGAAAACACTTCTGAGGGAATTTTATGATACAGGGATCTCTACAGGAAGCAGGTTAGGACTGGTGGGAGTCTGCTTCAGACGCACTGTGTATCTGTGCATGTAACTTAAGACAGCGGTCTGGTACAGCAGACTACGTAGGTACAAACCGTTTAGGCCTGTATGGTGCAGTCCTAGCTTTCCTCCTTTCAAACAGTAAACAAAAGTAGTCATTGCCTGGAGAACTTGAGCTCTTTAAAGATTTCTGTTTCATTCTCAGGTTACTCACGGGCAGGAAGATTCACACAGAAAAAGAAGCTTTAGAAGTAAGTAGACAAGGGATAGGATGTGTTAAGATTTTTTTCTGCATTCCTGCCTCCACTGCTGCAGTTTGCCGTTTGTCTTTAACCTTGAAGTCACTTTGTCCTTCCTCTCCTTTTATCAGTAAAGCTTGTGCACTCCAGGTGCAAAACACTTTCTGTTCTTGAGTTTGAAGAAACTTCTTGAAATAACTACAGGTAAAGGCATTACAGTGGTAATGAGTAGATCTCTGTGAGCGTGTTTTCCTGCAGCGTAAGAAAGGTAGCAGCAGCACACATGGCAACTAATCACACACTGTCAGCAGTGTGGAAATGCACTGGTTGGGGTGAAAATCCTGGGTGACCCTGGGCATTAGCAACCTGCATGAGTTGCTCCCTCTACTGTTCATGTGTGAGCCGTGCAGCAGCAATGATGGGTGTTAGGACAGCCCTTTCTCTTTCTCCCATATAGACTGCAAGGAAGAGAGCTTACTAGCAGACTCTTATGAGGATTGATTAAATACTGTCCTGACAATGTTTGCTGGTGTTCTGTTTCTTTTCCTTGAATTGACTCAAAGGGGATGAGACCTGGGTTGCAAAAGGATAGATTACATAGATGAGAAACCATACTGGGAGTGAAGGCCTTTGGGTACTTCCTGGTGAAAAACAGACAAATCCACAGTGTTGACAGCTGATGGTAGGTGGTCTGCAAATATACTGCACTGAGGTGTAAGGATGTACCCTTTTACACAAACTGAAGAAAATAAAAAGCTGCAGAGGTTGGTGATGAAGGACAAAATAGGAATTTTTTTTTGGTGTCTTGAAAAGAGCTGAGCGCTTTGTTTTGTTGACTAGTCAAGTGCTTTCATAATGGACTGATGTTATTTCTTCCAGTTTGGTTTTGAACTTCAAAGGAATACAAAACCTTAAAACAAACAGGAGCTGCAGTGGCACCCTGGAGAGTAGCTGGGGTCTGTCAGCCCAAATGTTTGTTGTTTTTTTTCCTCCAGCAACATGATGCAACATGGGTTGATTGCCATCTCTTCCTGGTGGGAAGTAGCTCCAAAGACCTCAGCTCTTTTAATTCCCACACCAAGCCCCTAGTTTTACATTACTCCACTGTGCTAGGCAAGGCTGATGAGCTGTGCTTCATGTCACTAGCTACTAACTACAACTCAGTTCTTCTCTTCTCATCCTCAGCAGTGGAACCACAGTCTTAAGAACAACACTGTTAGCTGAGTAGCCATTATTTTTATGTTTGCATATGTCAGCTGCAAACAGGAGTTGCATGTGTTAAACAATTTTCCATGTTCATTTTCTGACAGTCTGTCTGGTTCATGTGCTAGCTCTTATTTGTGGTGGGTTTTTAAAAAATCTCTTCTAAAGAGATGGAATTATACTTAGGAATGGAAACATTTCTGAAATAGTTGCTTGCAGGATTTTATATTATAATCTATCTGTCTCCCCAGCTGCATCTCTTACATAGGTCTATCCTTCTGAGTAATAATCCATGCTGGAATTTGTCACCTTTCGAGGTGGTAGGAATTCTCGCATTGATTTCCATGGTGACATGCTTTCATTAATTTCTTTAGCAGGACTAGTGATGACAGTATAGTCTTCTAACATAAAATTAACTATGATGTAATATTAATGTAGAAGAGGCTAAGTCCTACAACCATAAATACTCATGATTAGGTTCTTGGTGGATTGAGACTGAGAAATGAAATGGAGTTTAACGTTACTTCACAGGTTGATTATGTCAGCATATGCTGGTGGATTTACTGCTGCTTTAAAACCCAACCAATGTCTATGCAAAGAGGTCTGATGGCTGAAAAACCTGGAGGCTTAGTCGAGTAAGAAAAGCAACAGAGAATTAAAAAATAGCAGAAATAAATCCTTATAATTCAGCTGCTCATGAGTCATAGCTAGCCTGAGAGGATTTTTAGTCAAACTCTTCTGGGGGATTTAATATTTTATCTCTGTTTTATGCTAAACTCATGATTGAAGTCATTCATTCTTCTGTGAAATCAAAATCACTTCTGTAGCAACCAACTGTGATGTCAGAAGTAGAGTATTAACGAGTTTAAGTGAGGAACACACAGAGTGGAAATACACCTCCAAAGGTACATAATTTACAGGTGTAATTTGGGGTTGGAAACAGAATGAGAAAAGAAGACTGAGGCAGACACACTTCTGTCTCTGATGTAGCGCTTTAACTCTTCGGTTTTGCTAACTCTTAAAGTAGTAGCTAAATAAGACTTCATGACCTGGAGTTACTGGCTTTTTAGCAAGTGTTTCAAGATGCCAGCTCAGGCGCATGTGTCTGTATTTTTGTTCTCTTATTCTTCTGATAATATGTTCTGAAAACACGATGGAGACAAAAATTCTGATCACAGGTGAAACAGGGTATTCTTTTCAGAGGAGCGTCCAAAGATAATACAAACTGAGATGCTTGTAACAAGTGTGTACATTTAAATATGGATGTTTTGATTCCCCTATTTCAAATTAATTCCCCTAACTGAATTCTTTGAGTAGAAACTCTTTTTTCTCAAAATAGGGTGCTTGTCAAAAATCCTCAATACTATGAATGGTGCAAGGTTTAATCAACACACATTGCAGTCACTGATTCCCGCCTTTTTGCGCATGAAAAGGTTATGGATATGCTCCATGCCATGGGACCAGAGACTGTGGTGATCACAAGCTCAGATCTACAGGGCGCTCTAGGAAATGACCACCTAATTGCTCTGGGAAGCCACAGAAGAAGTAAGTCATGAACTCCTCCATTAAACTGTTATTTCTTTTAACCTGTTCTGTGCTTTCAGTCACTTTATGAAGAAGCAGTTCCATCAGTCCATCTGTAGTGCATGAAAGGAGCTTAGATCCCTAAGTGAACTTCTTCTCCTACAGTAATATCAGAGAGCAGTAAGAATGGGGCTGCTCCGTGAGGCAAGACAAGCTGGGAGCTGCGCATGATCATAGCACAAGCAGAGCACTGCCCTCACCAACAGGGCACAGGCTGACAGTATCTGATTAAGGTGAGCAGAACAGAGGTGGTGATGGCAGACAGGTCCCACTGACAGTCTAGTGATCATCAGAGAAAGGTGAGACATGCCAGGTCCAAGATTAATCTGGAAAATCCAGTCAGTATGTCAGGACAGCAGAGCTGTACGCAGGTACACCTACAACATAGCTCAGGCAATGACGCTTGCACCCAGGCCTGATCTTCCGTGCAGCTCCTGGGCAAGTGGGCAGAGGGTGCGTGGGTGGAGGATGTCCTAGATGAGGTTGATGAGGGCTGTTAAAGCCCCCAGTAGTGGCCCTGACAAGTAGTGGTTAAAAGAGGAACTTTGACTGTTCTGAATGCTTTTGTGCAAAGTTGCACTATCCTTTTAGCAGTTTATTCCTCCTCTGATAGGTTGTAAAATGTCCTTCTGCTTCTTCTTTGTATCCCCTTCTATACCATCATCAAGATTCACTGTGTGTTTGGTTTGTTGTGGGATGTTTTTACATACGAAGGGCATGGTTATGCAGGATGGTATATGATCTCATTTTCTTGTTCATCTAAGTGATCTAATTGTGGGCATCACATTCTGGACTGCTGAGAGACCAAAGAAGTCTTGATATTTAAGACAAACTCCACTAAGAATCAATCGGTGTCTCTTAGCATTCAGTACATGCCAGGTCTGGAATAAGTCTGGTAAGTCTAGTCATTGTAGTGGTGATTACAATACAGCACATGGATCAGATATTCTCTGCTGATGTCTACAGCTGCTCTTGTGCCTGCATACAACCCAGAGATACTCTAGATTATGGTTTGGGATGCCCTATCTAGGATTTAGCAGTCTCTGAATTTATGTGGTTTCCTGAGCAAGCTGCTACTGCTTCTAAATGAAGACAGGTGGCTCAGAGTCCTCCATGAAGGTGAAGGTGCTAGGTACCTGTTTCCTCTTAAGTGAAGTATGTATGGCATATAGGTTGTAAATGCTATCCCAGCTTGGCAAAGTTTTGAAAAGTTGCACCTTTTAGAAGAACTGGTACAAAGTTTACAATACTCCTTAGCATCTTTGTGTTCCAAACAACAAAGGAATTCAAATCTGGTGATCGCTTCTAAATTACAGTAAATACTATTGTATTAATTGCTGGGTCTGTTACCTAACTGTCTATCTATGTTGTAGCTAAAGCAGATGGTTCCAAGATGACACAAAGAATTCGAGTGGAGTCTCCTAAAGTGGATGCTGTCTTTGTTGGAACAGGAGACTTGTTCGCCGCTATGCTTTTGGCATGGACACATAAGCATCCAAACAATTTGAAGGTGTGGGAGAAGTTACTCGACTTTCTGCAAGTTTAGACTGTTTTGGGTTGTTTTTTTAAATTACTTTTAATCTATGACATTATTTAAAGACTCTCTTATGTTTTGGCTTTTTTTTTTTCCCCTCACCTCAGAGGAAAAAAATGCATAATTTCCCTTTTGACAAAACATTTTAGCTTGTACACCCTTGGACAGTTGTATTTCAGTTACATGGATTTTGTAATCTTGTCAAATAAGATGTTCTTCTCTCTAGAGAGAGGGACTGCATGCATGTTTGTAATTATATTTTTTACCTTCACTTTCTAAGAAGCACTGAAAATCATTTATCAGATCTATTTTCATGTTTCTTTCCCTTAAGCACATAGAGTCCTCAATATGGTTGTGTAGTTTCTAATACATGTTTCAGGAGAATTAAGAGTAAAATTTTTTTTCCCAAACTCTGCATTACATAGCTATCATCCTGTTTGCATCTTGTTGGTCATGTTTGCCTCCAAATAGCAATGTTTTTGAAGTAATAACATTAAACTAGGCAGCTGAAATTTTACTAAAACCTGAATATATTATGTTAATGCAGGTGGCATGTGAAAAGACTGTGTCAGCTATGCAACATGTTCTGCAGAGGACCATTAAGAGTGCAAAAGGTAATTAATTCAAACCTTGTTCCCTTGTTCTGTCTGGATTTGCATCAGAAGAAACATTCAGTGAGCTTTCTGGGTTTCCTGACTAAAGACAGCTCTCAGTGCAGAAGCAGCCAGAGAAATTACAGAATGAGGGCTTGGTAGTCTTCTCAGCGCATGTTCCTTACTGTGTCCTCCAAACCTATTTTTGACAACACCCGACTGAAGATGTCACTGTTCAGCTTGTAGTGGGACTACAGTCATGCTGACGGCTTGACTGCTTTGCAAAACAGTGCTGGAAGAACTTGAGAAAATGCTGAGTTTGACATGGAGAAGAGTTTCTGTTTTAAGTGTAGCTTGGTCACCTTCCCTTATGAGTGCATGTGTTTAGTATTGAGAGGGGTTTATCAACTAATAATAAACTGTCTGTTTGCTCTGTTGGCCATGTGAAGAGTGATTTTTTTTTTTTCATCTTCTCTCCCCTTGAAGTTCCCATGTCTTTCAGTTCCTAAGGAGATCCAGATGGATGGGATCTGTGGGTTCTCAGAGCATGTCTGTGTCACTTTCTAGTAACAGCAGACTTGTGTTTCTTTCCTGGAGAGAGGTGCAGAGCAGGGGTGATAAGAAATCACAGTGCTGACCTGGATCTTCCACCTTGGAAGCCTTTAGTAGGGAGATTGGGGAGGGGAGGAGGGTAAAAATAATTGTGGGGTAACAGAACAGTGTAACTTGTTGCTTTTTATACTGCTGTTTTTAATGATATTCTGATATAATCTTTTTAGCACAAGCTGGAGAAGGAAACAAACCAAACTCAGCCCAGCTGGAACTGAGAATGGTCCAAAGCAAAAAGGACATAGAAAACCCAGAGATCATAGTGAAAGCCACCGTGTTATAAAGGCTGTACGTCTCCAGTAACGCACAATGTATTGATGTCCTCATTTCTTTCCTGTAAATTGTAATATTTGCCTTAGATCTGTGACAGAAACCTGATTTTCATGAAATAGTGCCCAGCATAGGCAGATGTCCACTCTCAAACATATGTGCTGGCCTTGCTCAGTTTTAAAAACAAAACAGTTAGTGTGCATTGAAGCATACTACCAGGTATCAAAATGGCTGTCAAATTCACTCCAGTCTGTGTAATTACCCAGGGCAAGAGAGTATAGTGTTCCTGCCTTGCCAAAGACTTTAGGTGTGAATTTGTTAATGGAATGCTTGACTGACTGGAAAATGTGTTTCAAGATGGCATCTAGTGCCAATGGAGCTGGCTCCATGCTCCCTTTTCCTGGAGATATCTGGTTACCTACTCTGGTATTCAAGTATCTCAGCTGCTGTGAAACTAAGCAGGGTTAAAACTACACACAAAGTTCTGGTTGTGTGTAGGAGTATTTTGAAGATGTTTGGCATTTAAGTACTCTGAAGTGACCTTGAGGTGTCATTCATGTTACTGACAACTGCTCCTGTTTCTTGTCTATGAACTGCTGCACAGTTTCAGTTTTTGCAGGTACTGGCTGCTTATTTCTAATGTCTGTAGGTAGCCACATGATTTTTTTTCAAAAGCTGCTCCAGAAACTTCTTCATTAGTAAGATGTCTTTATTCAGTAGCACCAGTTAGAAGTTTGTAGTTCTACCTCCAAGGCCAGGTTTGATTCTTTGTTTAGTTTTTAACTAAGGACAAACATTCTATGAGGACAAAAGAGAAAGCAGCTCTTACCCTGAAAGATGGCTACCCTAGTTTTTTTTTCGTGGTGGATGTATTTACAAACTATGTAGGGCACTTCTACTTAACAATAGTGAGCACTATTGGCAGGCTTATCAATGAAGCAATATGGTAAAAGTAATACTTTTAGTTTAGTAAGGTTTAGTAAGTGATACATGTTTACCAAATGCAGTGAAACATACAAAATTAATTTGTTCAGAATGTATGTCTCTGCAGCCTATGCTGATTAGAGATAATAGAAATGCATTACTATTAATGCATCTTTATTTCAAAATTCTGCTTCCTAAGGCTTCAAATGGGATTCTTAGTAATTTCAGTGTCCTGTACATCGCAGCCACATATTATACCAGTGGAGCAGATACACTGGCAGGTACTGACCACTTGTACTTCTGTGTGATTTCTGTATGGGACTGAGCTTCTTGCTTCTCGCAAGACAAGGTGTAGTGCATTGTTAAATCCAAATTCAGTTGATGAGCTTTATTTGTCTCAGATGGCATAGGGAGATTAAAATTGTATTTCTACTTGCAGTGACATGAAGCAAATATGCATTAGAGAAAAGGGCTGTTTTTCTTGATTACCTGAGTATGCTCAGGAAACTCACTCCTGGGTGTCTCCCAGATAACCTTTTCTGCACCTTCCTCATCACACCTGCCTAACTGAAGTTATAGTGTGACTTGCATAGCTTGGGAGTCCCCAGAAGAGCTGGTTTGGAGATTGCTTTGCCCACTGAAATCTTTACTTATCTCACCATTTTTTGTCAATTTTCTGCCATTGTAAAAATTAATTGGTTTCAGCTAGCTGAAGAGTAACTTATCCTTATAGTGAATTTTTAGCTAAATAGATTTTTTCATAGATTAAGATTTCATAATTAATACATTTCTGAAATCCCTCATTTTCAGTATCTCTGAAGCAAATGAAGTTTAAGAGAGGAACACGTTTTGCAGGAAATGTAAAAGGCAAACTTCAGGCTTTCAACTCTCAACAACTAATAGTTTTAATTCCTCATGCATTTGGCATTATAAATAAAAAAAATTCTTATGACTGAGAACTTTAAGAGAAAAAAAACCCCAGAAATTAACTACAAACTGTGACTCTACTGCCGCAGTTTTTAGTAACCACTGCCGTGAAATAACTTTCTAGCAATAATAATTTTGGTGATGTGAACAGTTGCTAAAAGTAGCGGTCAGTAACAGACATGAGCTCATGGCTGATATCCCGCATGTAAAAAGACATGAACTATCTTCACTGTGTATAAATATCTGACGGGAAGCAGTGAAGAAGAAGGACCCAGACTCTTCTCAGTAGTGCCCAACAAAAGTACAAGAAGCAATGGGCAGAAACTGAAATGCAGGCAATTCCATTTGAACATTAAAAAAAAATAATCCACTGTGAGCGTGATCAAACACTGGCACAGGTTGCCCAGAGAGGTTGTGGAGTCTCCATCCTTGGAGATACTCAAAACCTGATTGAACGTAGCCCTGAGCAACCTGCTGTACTTGACACTGCTTGTGAAGTGGGGCTGGACTAGACGATCTCCAGAGATCCCTTCCAATCTCAAGCATTCTGTGATTCTGTGACGTACAATGAATTGCCTTTCTTTGCAGCGCTGTATTTTTAAATTGATCCAATTTTTTTTTTTTCTTCCTGAGACACAAACTTCCAGATAGGCTAGGAAATAGCTCGGTATTAATAATTTGCACCCTTTTTAGATGAGCTGATTTTTGCTTCTTGGGCAGTTGTGCCAGAAATACATTTGCCTTTTGTGAGGTAGTTGCTTTCAGCAAAGATATTTAGATACTGTAGCTGGCAATGCATTTCAACAGTTGAACACAAAAGGATTTAAGTTGTTTCTAGCATTGATTAAGGAAGTGTTGCATGCCACATTCCAAACATAACTGTAAGTTTATTTTTCTTTTAAAATTAGACTATTTTACATGGAAGTGTAAGGGATCAACATAGTGGATTCCCGTGCCTGTACATATCCTGGTCGACTCCGTGGCATTATGCTTGACACCCTTGCCCAGCTGTATCCAGTTTTACAGCTCCTATGGGTCACATATAAAAAATCTTCAGATAGCCAAGCTTTGAGACCTCTGCTGTGTCCCTCAGATTAGATGAATCCCAGGAGCAATTCACATGCAGTAAATGGCACTTGCTTTCTAGGATCCCATGGCTCCAGCTCAGAGCTTTGCAGGGTCTGGAAGTGGCTCCTGGTGCACCGTCTCCTATGGCCAGGGCTGTGGATTGGCCAGCAAACCCTGCACCAGCATCAGCTTCATTGCCAGTCACATAAAATGGTCTGGCTTGAAAGCGGCATGGGGACAAATTGAGAACCATATGGTGGCCATCCCTGCGCTAGTGCAGTGCAAAATTGAGGTTCTTCAGTTCTTCACATCAGAGGATAGACAGGAGAGAGAAGCTCTAAATCGGCCTTTTTTAAAAAAAAAAAAAAAAAAGGCAGCATCAAGTATGCACTGTCAAAATTTGCTGTCAGAGAAACTCTACCTGTTGTAACCGTGTATGCATGGGAAAAGCCTTTTTAGCAAGTGTGAGACACTTGGCACTAAAAAAGTAGACTTTCACAAGGGAATTGAGAGAAAGGGCTGATTTTCTCTGAACTGAAGAAGCTTGGAATCTAGGAAACATAAAGCTACCTTACAAACAAGGTTTCATCCGTAAACCGTAAGGAACCTTGATCTTGCCATGAAAGAGAAAGTGAGATGTTTACTGGAGCAGTTTATACTATCAGGAGTGATCTTTTCCCACAGCTTCAAAGAAAGAATCAGTCTAGTAATTCACACCTTCCTTAGAATCTGTGACATATCCATGCTAAAAAAAAAAAAAAAAAAAAAATCATGGTACTAATGTGCTCTATTTGCAAAAGTTCCTAGTTCCTATTTTGCAGTAGATGGATCTGTAGCAATGGGCTGCTAGCTTCTTTTGCTTAAGTCCCTGAGAGCTGAGAGTTGCTCATGTAATATCTGTTTTAAGCTCTCACTGACCTGATCTAAATTAGGTCAGGTTTATGTCTTCAGTGAAGAATTGGGCTTAACATCTCTTGCCAGAAACAAACATCAGAAACTGACTGTAAATATATTCTGTAGCTAACATTTTGTAGTCACAACAGGCTAACAGGTGTTTTTAAATATCAAGGTATACATACTCAATGCTTAGATGCATTTTTATTTGTTCAGAGTTACACAGCATTTTTTTGTAATGTTTGAAGAACACAGTTTGAAGACTCAGCACAGTCCTGTCCAATCTTCTATTCCCTATTCTCCTCCTACATATAATATCTGTATCTGTTTCTGAGTTCCTACTGTTTTTCTGGCGCAGCTGGAAAGTGTCTCACACAGCTTCCTGCTATTTATTTAAAGGCTTGGAGGACACTTATCCACTTGCAGAGCCTTAGGTAAAGAAAAATGGTTAGTCTTAAACCAGTTTAGGTCCCAACTGACTAGAGAAGAACAAGCACTTTAGCTCAGAGAGTGGAGTCAATAACTAATGGATAATCTTCCATGACCGTCCTAATAGCATGAGAGGTGTCTGTAGCCCACCGGTCCAGCATTCACCAGGTGGGGACTGCTGACTTCACTGCCATGCGTACTCCTATGTGTACATGTGAACTTAGCAGTGGAGGATTCTTCTAATGCTGAAGTACCTGTACACATGGTAGCGGTGAATGCTTTGTGTTTGTGTCCTATCAACTTCCCCACCATTCTTTCTTTTTCTTACTGGAAGTAATTTGTGTTGGATCCCTTTTTTCTGGCATGAACTTTGCAGTGTATGTGGTCAGCCATTTTGATTACTGCAAGTGCGGTCATTTGCAGAGCCACAGTGCAGGAGAGACCAAAAGTTGTTTATAAACAATCTACTCTATTCTGGGCCTGGATTAGTCTCTACAAGCTTAAAATTCCCATGTACCTCTTTGGAAGACTTGCTTAAAGACTTTGTGCTAATATCAATGCTGTTCACACTTGATATAAATATTTAAGAAATCTGCAGTACGAATTGTTAATGTTTGTTTGCTGATTTTTATCATAAGCAGAATCTATGATCAATGTGTTATGCAACAGAATCAGAGGACCAAGCTTTCCAGCTACTCATACTGCCTTTTTGAGTATCTTAACTGTGTCTTGATTGGATGGTGTTCATTTGTTGTCTGAGACTGTTATGGTGATTGTATTGATCTAT